TTCTTCTTCTTCTTCTTCTTCTTCTTCTTCTTCTTCTTCTTCTTCTTATTATTATTATTATTATTATTATTATTATTATTATTATTATTAAAAAGTTTTTTATTTTTAACTACAAACTTAAACAAACATAAATATAAAACAGCAAATAAAACCTTCTTTCAATTATACAGAGTTGGTACATATTTATTGTGCACAAAATCTATAGTCGTTTCCTCTTAGATTTAAGTTTACATTCATATTACATTTGTCAACTTTCCATGTCATTTTATATTAGTGTTACATCCTCATTAGACTTTAATTTCAAATCCACATTATCCTTTAGAGCAAATCTCAACTCTTATTGGTTTTATTTCATATTATAATTCATTCTATAATAATCCATACGGCCACTTTTTCAATGCCGTTGTAACTTTGAACAATCACTAAAAAAACTGTTGTTGAGGACTACTTGTACAATTGTTAGGTCCCAGCTCTGTTATCTACAGTGAACCCTTCCCTGCTTCCCCTAAAATTAGTGCTCCTGACAGCATTAGATCACAAGTAAGTATTACTTTAATTTTATGCAGTGATCTAGATCTAATGAAATTCTGGACCATTGTGGGAATTAATGGCACCAGGCTGGCGACCGGGGCAGTCATATCAAATGGCAACACTAGGGGAAGCAGCACTGAGAAGCGGCAGATATTACACAGCCTGCCCTGCCCTTCCTAAGCAGTTTTGCTTTCAAAACGAGGCTTCAAAGGTACACCAGCTAAAAAGATGTGACTTACAAGATGTTCCTTAAACTTATGACATTGCAGCATTCCCCCACAGTCACGTGACCAAATCTGAGCCCTTGGCAAATGGGCATGTGTTTTTGGCGGCTGCAGTCTCCCTGGTCACATGACTGTGATTTTCAATCTTCTCAAGTGGCTTCTGACAAAGAAATGGGGGAAGCCAGATTTGCTTAACAACCTCGTGATTCACTTAACAACCACATGATTCACCTAATGGCTGCATTAAAAAATAGCTGTAAAATTAATCCTGGTCACGTTGTGACTTCAGTCCCAACTGTGGTCATAAATGGAGAACTACCTGTGCTGTCCAGCCAGGTATAGTTAGTTAGGAATTGGGAGCTGTCCCCTTAAGGGAATGCATCATGGTAAATGTAATTAAAGTATCCTGGGAAATGTAGTTCATGTCATGTGGTCACATCTGTAACTCTGATTGGTCACTGAATTGACCGTTGGTGGGTTGGGTGAGGTTTCTTCACTCTTGCTTGGACCCCAGCAGCATGCTGGTGCTTCATCCTTTGCTCCTTCATTATTGGGATGAGAGATAACCATCTTTTTACCCAGAAAGACAAACATGCAAAGAATTGCACATTGAGAAGAATGTCATCGTAACTGTGAGTTATCTTGAGGATGCCTGATGAACCAATAAAAGGACTTTGTATGGATGCTTTGTGGAGTTATCTATCTGCCTTTTTACGATATACTTCATGCACTATGTCTCTTGGGCCAGGCTTTCATGCAGAACTTTGATTAATACAATTTGCTTGTATGGTATTTCCTTATGTGCCAGTTGTGAAGCATCCAGATTTTGATCACGTGACCATGGAGATGCTGCAACAATTGTAAGTGTGAAAAATGGTCATAAGTTACTCCTTTCAGTGCCATTGTAACTTTGGTCACTAAATGAATGGCTATAACTGAAGGACTATCCTTATTGCCTATTAGCAATTACACAGATTTTCTCCATGATGATCCCAGGGAATATCATGGCAATATCCCCAGGGAATCTCATGGCTTCCACAATTCTGATTTTTATAGGTACAGACACATCACAACATCTGAATATCTTTTTCAATGCTTTCACAGC